GTCCTTTTCCCACCGCTGCTGAATTGGAAAGGATTCCTTGGGGAGAGCGGGAAGGAGAGGGGCCCTCAGCTCTGCTTCCCTGGCCTTCATTTCAGGAACAAAAGCAGCCAAGCTCCAGCCTGCCACTCGGACAGCTGAAGGGTTTTTGTGCTCTTTGGGGGGAAAAAATTTTTTTTTGCCTGTCGGGAAGCAAAAGGTTCTCTCTGAGCTCTCGGAAGACAGAATGGGCAGAGGAAGCACTTGTGATCTGGTCTTATCCGTGCGCCCCTGGCTCAGGCCCTGTTTCAAGTGAGGGCTTCTTTGTTTTTTTGTTAGTTTAAGCCAGGGCTTCTTACTGGCTGTGTGACTGTGGAGAATTAATCTCCATCTCTGGGCTTCAGTGGAACCGTCCGGGTGAGGATCGCAGGGAATGTGCTTTACATTGTAAAGTGCCTTCAAGGGTTGCAGGGAAAGTGAACATGGTGAGACCCTGAGACTCAACCTGGGATGTCTGGACTCCCACCCTCAGAGACAACGGATGCAAGAGCGGCCACCTGTTTGGATAGACCTTCTAGGCCCTGTCCTCGAGCTACACAGCCAGACGGTGGGACCAGGCCCAGCAACCCGCATTACGACAACTGGGGGCGGGAGCGAGTCCCACACAATTTGAGCTCCGTCACTCAAGGAGGGGAAGCTAACATCCCAAGGCCACAGGAGAGAAGGCCCAACAGGCCCTGAGCTTCCCATCAGGACAGACAGTTGGGGTGTGGGATGGAAAAGGGCCAGTGGGGTCAGAGATGGGCAGAGCAATGCAGGGACCTGGGCAAAAGTGGGCAGCATCCTCAAGGCTGAGATGGGGGTGGGGGGAAGAAGGCAGATGCTGCCGAAGAACCCAACCAGGATGAGTGGAGGGGGGCTGCTCTCAGCCACCCAACCCACAGGAATCCCACAGGCTCTCCAGAATGGGGCCCAGGGTGTGCATGTTGGGCTCCCTTGGCCCACCAGGATGGAAAGACTTGCTTCACCTTTCTGTCTCTCTCTTGTCACCAAGTGTCACCCAGGAGGACACTTGTGTACGCTTTATTCAGTGACCACAAGTCCGACTGTGTCCCAAGAGTTCCAAATATCTAATCCCCAAAGAAGTCCCGAGGAAGGAACTGATTTTAGCCCCACTTTCCATAGGAGGAGGAGCCCTGGTGGGGCAGTGGTTCCGTCCTCAAGGTCAGCAGTTCAAAACCACCAGCCAGCTCTGCCAGAGAAAGATGGGGCTTTCTGCTCCCAGAAACCTTTACAGTCTGAAATTCACAGGGGCAGTTCAAACCTTCTTCTCTACGGTCCCTTTGAGTCAGCACCGACTCTATGGCAGTGAGTTTGGGTTTTAATTTGGTTTTACCGATGGGGAAACTGAGGCACGAGGAAGGCTTGTAATCGGTTCAGGTGTACGCAGCCCATGGAGCGGAAGAGCTGGGATATAAACCCAAGTTTTCCCAGCCAAGTGTACGGGGTGGCCCCTGTGCATGACCCTGCTCCGTCCAGGTGGAAGAGGCTTCCTCATCCATTGAGCTGGCCACACACACCCTGTTCCAAGGGAGACACTGGGGGTCCTGTGGCAGAGGTGGGGTCCCTGCCCGGGAGGAAGAGCAGCCAGTGTGGGAGACAGGGGCACCCACAGTCCCGGCAGCCCAGCATGGGCCTAGTAATGTGGGGCTTACTGTGGGTCAGAGCCCAGGGGAGGGAAAGAAGAAATGCTTATCGCCAAGGTCTAAGGAAGGCAAGTTCAATCAAAGGAGGATTTGCATGGGCCTAGAAGGATGGGGGACATCCCTGGGTGACGGACGCAGAGAGTGACTTCAGCAGGTGGCTGCCAACCAAAGGCTAACTGTTCAAACCCACCCGGAGGGACCTCCGAAGAAAGGCCTGGTAATCTGCTTCCCAAAGGCCACAGCCAGGAGAAACCTCAGGGGCACAGTCGTACTCTGCAGGACAGGGGTCCCCGTGGGTCAGAGTCAGCCTGACCGCCTGGGGTTAGCAGCATCACCCCAAGTCAAATCTACCCTCGTCAACCTGGCCCTGCCCCACAGCAGCCCTGGAGGACTGGAGGACCACTCTCCAGGGACTCTGAGCCTGTCCGTCTTTATAGAAGCAGGGCCTCACCTTTCTCCAGAAGAACTGCTGGCGGCTTTGAACTGCTGATAGTGCAGTTAGCAATGCACTGCTTGACCCACCTTGTGCCACCCGGTCTTTTGTTCAAGGATGGGGAGGATAATTTGGGGAGAGTCCCGGGGGAGCGTGTGCCCTACCCTTTTGCGTGCTGGGGCCAGGGGACCCACGCCCCCAGGTTCGGGGAGATTTCTAAGGACACTGAGCAGGGAACTGTCTAGATGCCAGGTAGCTGGATTCTATTATTTCAGCTGTGTGCCTCTGGCCCAGCGGGGAGGCAGACAGGGATAAGAAAAGCTCTCTCTTGCTTGAATATAAGACACACACACACACACACACATACACACACACTGAAGATAAGACACACACACACACACACACACACTGTCTTTCCAGCGTCTCACGAGGCCTCGGGTTCCCCTCTTTCAAAGTCGTCTTTGGGTGAAGGGTTTTTGTCCATTGTGTAAATCAAGACAGATACCCCTGCCCTCAAGCCTAGCCACTTCGGGAGGAGGAGTGATGGGCCAGCCCACCTCCGTGGACTGAGCCTGTAAAACAGGCCTGCCGCTGTAGCCCCTGCTGTCTACTTTTCAAAGCTGCCTCGATATCGTTTCATCTGAAGCTCACACAGTGGGCCCGGAGGTTTATCAGATGGTTTCCAAAGTGACAGCTGGCTGGGAACAGGTCTCGGGGTTGTCATGAACGGGGCCACACAGGGTCAGGGAAAGGTAGCTACTTTTAAGGAGAAGCCCCTGAACGGGGAGAGTTCTCACCAGGGGCTGAGCTACGACTTCCCCAGGGGCTGGGTCCCCTCAGACTAGGGATTTCTCTCTCGGGGACGTGGCTGGGAGTTTGCTCAGGGCCGGGAGCCTTGACCGTGATTCATGAGCACCCACCTCAGGCGGGAGAAGATGTCCTGTGTTGGCACCATGTGGTGGCTGCATCTGACAGTCAGTCGGTGTGTCTGTGTGTCGGTCCCTAGCTCCTACCTCAGGATGAGGGGTGTGGGCAGTGGGATTGGCTGTCATCCAGAGGGTTGCTGCTGATGGGTGACTCAGGGCACTCCCCTGCCACCCCCCGAGTGCCATGTGACATGGCCAATCCCTGCTCCTCTCTGGGCCTCAAGGGGAAGGTGGGTCAGAGGATCCCAGCCCACTCCGAGCTTTGGAGTTAGCCGACAGGAGGTGGCACGTCCAATGCTGTTTCCTCTACTCTGAGAAAAGATGGTCTTCAAGGGACACAGGGACCCCTGGAGGGTGGTGGGAGTCAGACCCTTTGGAACATCTGAGAGGGAGGGGGACAGGCTGAGATGGTTGGGAAAGGGAGGAGCTTAACTTTTGGACCATTTATCAAGGGAATTCATCGCTGTTACAGAGGGCAGAGGGAGCATGAGGGCAGGGGTCACAGGGTACCGTGAGGGTGCTGGGCCTCGTGCCTGGGGGTAGAGCGAGTGAACACAAGATGCGATCCTGCACAGGCCCTGCCGGAACTTCAGGGATCCTGTGCAGATTTCTCCTCAGAGGTGACTCCCAGGAGGAGGTGTGAGGAAGTGTTAGCGACACCCCAGACCCTGGCCATCATTGGGTGAGGGCCCCTGGGAGCCCGGAACTTCCTGGAGGTTGCAGTCCGACCCTCTGGAGGGGAGCAGACGCTGGTGGAAGCCAGGGGTGTATTTTGGAGGTGCAGGTGGGGCATCTTCAACCTTCAAGCCTGATCCTATCGTGCTGACGAGGAAACCGGCTCCAAGGGGATGAGTCACTTCCCAGCTGGACTGCCGCTTTCTACAGGGCTGGGTTGCTTCCTGTCGGCAGCAAGTCCCTGTGGCATGATCTCTCTGTGCCTCGGCTTCCACATCCATGAAATGGGGCCATCCCTGCTCCACTGCCATCCTGCAGGACAGTGGGAGACCTGGTAGCTGATATTGGCAAAACCCTAAGGTGCTGCCTGGCCCATCACTGGGCTTGAGTGACAGGGAGGGGAGGCTCCTGAGGGCCCGGTGTCACTCTGGCATTTGGAGTCAGCCGATAGGTGTTCAAAGACCTTCACCCACACAGCACATCTGTCATTTCAAGTCTGAAGGCCGGGCTGTTCGTTAGCTGAGGCCTTGACCAAGGAGGATCCTGCTTAAATGATAAGCAGCTCCCAGAAGGGGTGTGCTGAATCTGGAGAGCAGGGCCACTGGGTGGCCACATTTGGGTGGCTGGATTAAAAACACACACATGCCCTCCCTAGGGGGCAGACAACAGAAAAGTGGGTGAAGGGAGGCGACGGACAGTGTAAGACATGACAAAATGCTAATAATTTATAAATTATCAAGGGTTCGCAAGGGGGGGGGAATGAGGAGCTGATACCAAGGGTTTAAGTAGAAAGCAAATGTTTTGAGAATGATGGTGGCAACAAATGTACAAATGTGCTTGACACAATGGGTAGATGCATGGATTGTGATGAGAGTTGTACGAGCCCCCAATAAAATGATTTAAACCCACACACACACAAACAAGTGGTAAGAGGGGAATTTCTAGAAGGGGCTAAAATGTTAGGCTGACCGGGGTTTGGAGCCAGAGTGAGGGCCCACGGGCACCTAGGCACTGGGGCCCAGGGAGGGCATGTGGTCTTGGTGTGGGGGTACAAGGGGGAAGCGCAGCCCCACCTGAAGAAGACTGCGCTCAGGAACCTCCAGTGCCCACCCAGTGCTGGCTTTTAATGAGAGACTAATAAACGCTGGCCCCCCCCAAACTTCCTTTTCTTCCTGTTTTGCCCACGGCCAGGCCGGAGGCAGCCTCCTGGTCTCATAGCAGGATTCCCAGAGGACACCTCCTCCCCACAGGGCCGGGCTAATTCCACCTCTCTCCCTCTTTCAGGAACCTTTTGGACAAAGACATGTTTTCCAAGTCTGACCCACGTAAGTCCTGCTCTGACAATAATCACAGGAAAGGTAACGGTGTTAACGTGATGACTAATGTCCCCGGTGAAAACCTCAGCAATTACTGAGCACTCCCTCACTGCTGGGCACGGCCCCTGTTTAATGTGTTCCCTGATGCTGCCCAGAGAGAGAGCAGTGGGGTGAGGAGTTGTTGCCCCATCAGACTCCCTGCACCGGTGAAGCCCTGACAGCAGCTTCTTGGCCTCCCCTGAGATCAGTTTCCCTGTCAGTCAAGTGGGGCTGCAGATCTTTCCCCCAGGAAGCCGTTTTGTCTTCTAAAGGAACACTTTGGACGTCAGTTGCCCACCCCCCACCCCCACTCCGCACACCCCTGCACCGCCCCCTCCCATTCTCCATTCAACCCAAATGTCTACCCGCTCTTGCCTCCAAGTAATGACTGCAGATCCCTCCTCCTAGATGCACCCATGTTCTAGAGCTGATGCTGATCTCTCTGGATTAATTGATGCATCTAGTACCTTCATAGCATATGCGTGGTGTGTGTGTGTGTGTGTGTGTGTGTGTGTGTGTGTGTGTGTGTGTGTCTTCCTCTTAGACCTACCCACCAAGACCCCTGACCCTTCAGGAACCACCCCCTCCCTTTCCCCATGGTACCACCCCGTTTGAGACCCCGGCTTTGTCTTGATCTGTGGCTTGAGCCCTTTCTTTCCCTCTCTCCACAGTGTGCGTCATGTATACACAAGGAATGGAGAACAAGCAATGGAGGGAGGTATGTACCACCCCCTTCTGAGCCCCGGAAAGGCCAGCCTGGCCTGGATTGCCTGTGTGTCTCCCAAGTCTGGAGGGACTCCCTCCTGACCGGGTTCTCACTTGCAGCGTCTACACCCTGCTGGGACTGTTGTCAGGGACTGGTGCATCGGTTCCAAATCACGGTGACCCTGTGTCCAACAGACCCGAGCACTGCTCGGTCCCGCACGGGTGCATATCGGAGCTGCTGTGTCAGCCCTTCTCCCTGAGGGTCTCCCTCGTTTCCACTGCCCTGCGACGGTCCGAAGTCTGAGGTCCTTTTCCAGCACCTGGCTGCCCTAAAAACAGGCCCAAAGTATGTGGGACAAAGGACTCACTGTCCTCGCTTCTGGGGAGCCTTGTTCCGACTGTACTCCTTCCAAGAAGGGTGTGCTTGTTCTTCTGGCCGTGCACGGGGCTCTCGGTATCCCTTGCTGGCACCATAAACCAAACGCATCCATTCTTCCCTCGAGCTCCTTACGCATCGCCCCACTGCCGCACGCACGCAGAGGAGGCGAGTGAAACGCCGTGGCTTGCACCTGGCACACCTCTGTCCTCAAAGTGGCTCATCCACACTTTGAAGAACCTTTGTGCCACCCAAGTGCCTAGTGCAGTATGTCGTCTGATTTCTCGACGGCGACTTCCGTACACATCGATTGTGGATCCAAATAAAATGAAGTCCTCGGCCATTGCCGTGACTTTTCTCCATGTATTGTGCTGTGAAGATCTCTTGGCCAGTGGTGAGAGCGTGGTTTGGTTTTCTGTGTGCTGAGTGGAAATCCATACTGAAGTGCAGTCCTGGATCTTCATCAGGAGGTGCTTCAAGGTTGTGCCACTGCCCATCTCAGCTTGTGGGTCAGCTTTCCTCCAATCCTGATAGCTGTGTTCTTGACACAGTACAGCTTCTTGGAATACCTGCTCAGCATGCAGAATAAGAATGGTTAAGGGATACAACCCTGACACACACCTTACTGACTTTGAACCACGTGGTTTTGCCTTGTTCTGTTGGTGCAGCTGCCTCTTAACCCATGGACAGGTTCCACACAAGCTCACCTCTTAACCGATCGTTTGTGATGATCCATGCTGTTGAATGCCTTTGTGTAGTCAATAAAACACAAGTAAACATTTTTCTGGTCTTCTCAGCTTGCTGCCAATCTGGCGTGAGCAGTAATATCCCTTGTGACACGTGCTCTTCTGAATCCAACTTGAATTTCTAGCATCTCCTTGCAACCAGGAGATTTTACATTACAAACCAGGTTTGTAATGATCTCAGCAATGCTTTGCTTGCATGTGACATTAGTGATATTGCTCAACAATTTTCAAACTCTGTTGGGTCATCTTTCTTTGGCATGGGCACAAGTCTGGGTCCTTCTAGTCTGTTGGCCAACGAGCTATCTTCCAAATCTCTTGACATAGACAGCCGAATGCATTTAGTGCTTCATCAGACTGTTGAAGCATTTCAGTTGGTATTCAGTCAATTCCTGGACCCTTGGTTTTCACTAATGCCTGCAGTGCAGTTTAGACTTCTTACTTCAGTACCACTGCTGTGTGGGTGTGGGGTTTTTTTTGCCCCCTGATATGCTGCCTCATTGGTGGTATGTCAACCAATCCTTTTTGGTACATTGACTCTGTGTATTCCTTTTGCTTTCTTTTGATGCTCCCTGCATTGTTTAGTATTTTGGCCATTCAACCAAAACTCACAGCCGTGGAGTCAATTCTGACTCATAGCGATGCTATAGGGCAGCATAGAACTGCGCCAGTGGATTTCCAGGACAGTACATCTTTATGGGAATAGACAGTCTCATAGTTTGCTGGTAGAATCCTTCAATATTGCCACTCGAGGCTTGAATTTTTTCTTCAGTTCTTTCAGCTTGAAATATGCTGAGTGTGTTGGTCCTTTTTGACTTTCTAACTTCCAAGTCTACATCCGCCTCCACTAGGAAGATATGAGAAGGGCAGGATCTTGTTCGTGCTGCTTTTAGGAAGAGACCAAAAGATAGAAAGAATGGTTCCAAGTCTGAGGGGAGAGGCATCCCATCCCTTGAACCTGGCAGGCTCCATTTTCCTGCCTCTTGGCCATGGCATCCCCACAGCCTGAACTTGGGGCAGTGGTCCCATACCTGTGGCACTTGTGAATGGCAGACCCACACTCTGGAACCAAGTTGTTGAATGTCTATCTTTGAAACCTAGAAAGCCATGGCCCTGCCCTTTGAGATCCAGGGGGCCATGGTCCCAGAGGCTGTGGCCCCGCCTTCTGAAGCCTAGGCAGCTCTTCTTCCTGTCCGCCTTCCAACGGTTCTCCTGATCTCTGACCTGCTCCAGAGATGCCTCTTTTTCTTTGATTGAAGAACAACACACGTTGTCCTTGAAGCTCTTTCCTGTCTGGAGAAGTCCAAGAGGCAGACAGAGTTATCTTCTCTCGGTCCCCTTCAGTCTGAGCTGACAGGTTTTCTGCTGTGGTGATTGGTGAGATGCATCAGTCATAGGCTTACTGTCTTTAACCAGAACCGTGTAGCCATGTCCCTGGTGAAAACCCTAGGACATGCACCCTTAGCTTGCGTCACAGCCTTTCCCAAATCTTCAGGTTCTGTTTTCACCGCACAGATCATTGAAAAACCTCCTTCCTCTTGAATTTTACTCTTAAGTGGCCAGAAGGAAACCCTTTAAGATCTTGCTTAAAAATCTCATCAGCCAGATGTCCAAGTTCATCATATACAAGTTCTGCCTTCCATCAGGTATTTGAACATCATTCAGACACTCTTTCTGTTTTGTTTTGACACTATAAAAATATCACTTTCCTGTCCAATCACAAGCTCGTCCTTTTCTTTTAAATCAAGCCTCCCTAGAGCACAGTGAATATCCAGATTTCTAGCAACCTCCTGTTGCTGGCACAGTATGTATTCTCGAAGGTGACAGCGCCTTTCTCTATAGCTCTCTCACCACTATCCTTTGCTCCCTCACCAGAATCAGGTTCAGAGTCTAATGCTCCAATCTCCTCATCAAGGCAAGCTAGGCTTTTATTCGTAGGCACCTTACAACTCTGTCATCATTTTGACATCAATCGACCCCTTACCCAACTCCAGAACTGCTTCCACAATTTAGGGAGCAGTGTAGCAGAAGTTCTGGGGGGCACAGTGCCCCACGTTGGGCTGCTAATGGCAAGGCCAGCGGTTCACGATGGCCTTCCTTAGGCCTCCTCCCTGCCTGTGGAAACACTCTTCAGTATTTGTTGTATGTACCCCTGCCCCAGGAGCTTCCCTGCTCACCCTGCACATCCAGCCTGGATGCCCTGAGGCCCTTGCTCGGTGGGAGGCATCCCATGATGCCTTGCACTGGCCCAGGCCATCCTCACTTGAGACCGCTGGTGTACAGTCAGAGAGACTTGCACTCTGGAGAGTAGAGAGCTAGGCTTGTTCGTTTTCTGACTCTTATTGGTACTCTTCAAGCCACTGGGCCTTAGCCCAGGGAATGAGTAAGTAATGGATGGTCTGCTTCCACGCACCCAGTGACACAGGAGGCGCTGTCCCGGGAAAACCTCTGGGTGGGGAGGCCTTGGCTAAGAGAGGAAAAGGGCCTTGGTGACTGCTCTAACTCGTACCAAGCTGCTGAGGGTGGGGCCATGGAGGCTAAAGGGCCCGCATGATGGAGTGCATGGGGTAGGCTTCAAGGGCTCACTCTCAGGTTAACAGAGACTTTTAGGGGCTGGTAAGGGGCCTCCTAGGTATCTCCACACTTCCCCACCAGTAGCTAGAGGAGTCCTGTTCAAAACTCAAGTCAGATTCTCTGCTTTCTTTCCTCAGCGCCAACCCACAATGGCCCTCATCCCACAAAACCATAGTCCTGGTGATGTTCAAGCAGGTCCCACACACCTGCTTTCCTTAACTGAGCTTGCCTTCTTCCACTCAGACCCTCCCTCACGCCACGTCAATCACACTGGCCTCTTCCTGCCTTTAAGGCCTTGGCATTGGCTGCTCCCGCTCCGGAACGCTCCTCCCCAGATGTTCCCTTGGCCAGCTGCATCCTTCCGGCACATCTTGCCCTTCCGGCCTGACCCCTGTCCTCTTCAGCACTTCTTCGTCCTCCCCTTGTTTAATTGTCCCCTCCTTATTACTTTTCGGCATCTACCATATTTTTCATTTCTCTTACAAAAACCTTAGTTTCCAACTACTGCCCCTTCCGCTGACATACTGGGCTGCTAGCCATGAGGCTGGTAGGCCGGAAGCACAGCTTCGCCCTGGGAGAAAGGCAGGTCTCCGGAGAAGAGTTCCAGTCTCGGAAGCCCACAGGGGCAGTTCCACCCCGCCCGACGGGCCACTAGGGTCATATTGACTCGATGGCAGGGAATTGTTTGGGTATTTGTTTGGGTTCCTTTCTCTCTTTGTTTCCAATCATCGACACTTATCATTGTACCTCGATTGCATGTTTGGTCAATCTCACGGTGAAGAGTTCTTCAGTTTTGGCATCACTGGCTGTAGTGGTTGGTGCATACATTTGGGCCGTGGTGGTGTTGGTTGGATTTCCTGTGTGCTGATAGGCACTATCCTGTCTCACAAACAGCATTGTGCTTCAAGGTAGGTCTTGAAATGTCCCTTTTCACGATGAATGCAACACCATTCCTTTTGATTGTGCTACTCCTGGCACACTAAACCATATGATTCCCTGATTCAAAATGCCTAATGCCTATCCATTTCAGTTCATGAACGCCTAGAATATCGATCTTCATGCGTTCCATTTCACTTTTAAGAACTTTCAAATTTCCTAGATTCATACAACGTGCCTTCCAAGTTCCAGTTATTAATTAGTGCTTTCAGCTGTTTCTTCTCATTTTGAGTCGTGCCTCATCAGTAAAGGAGGGTTTGGAAGGCTTTATTCCCACCAGCGTCACGCCATCTGAGTCCTGACGGCCGACTCTACTTTCAGAAGGCAGCTCTTCCTCCGTCACCTTTTGAGTGCCTTCCGACCCGAGGGACTCATCTTTGGCCA